TACAAATTAGAAGTGAATTGCTTTGGTTGCATGTCTGATCGAAATTTGAAATGTTCAGAGCAGGTCGTACCATATACTATGGTGGCCCTACCACGGTAAAAATTGATGCGGCAGAGAGCACTAACATTTCGCGCCATTTTTTTCCTGAATACCGATTTCCACGCACTTAACTCGTTTTCCGAAAACATTTCACGAGATCTAGGCATATTTTACAAAATAGGACTTTAAGAACCATGGCTGTAATCAGTATACCAGCAGGATTGATATGTTGCGAATGACTGATCTTTTGAGTATCAAATAAGCTGAAACTCTATTTTGCTTATATTTAAAATGGCGAACTAGTTAGTTCCTCTCCATTTACTAAGGAAGTATAGGTTTTTTGGCTGGGCTAGTTTTGTTCAAAACAATTTCTTTTTTAGGGAACTTAAGCAATATAATAACCTTAATTATAATATAATATAATAATAATAATTAATAATAATATAATAACCTTAATTAATAATATTATAGAAGATACTATATAAAACACATTGTACTTTAATAATGTATATATCTATAATGTACTGTTTTACTGTAATAGTTTTCTTAGGTTTGTTGTATAGCAGTACTTAAAAAAAGTAAAAATATATGTGTAAATAAAATTATTAATATTATTAAAATGAGGAATTAAAAAATCTAGAAAAATATGTTGCAACAACCTCTCTGTATCCTCCGCATACTAGACAAACGCCGGGCGGATATTGGACTCTGTTGAACGCACGCAAATCAAAAACGAAGAAAGGATCGACCTAAGCCATCGGAAAGAGAAAGATGAAATCGGGACAGATGGTAGGCAGGACTGGGACAAGGTAACGGGTTCGTGATGTCACGACCGCAGATATTATTCCGACGACGCAACGTTAATACAAATGTCAATAAATTTTGTTGGCGGTTGTTATTTGCGATTCGCAATGGGGTCGCCTCTTTGTTCTTTCGGTAGTGACATCTCCTCGTTTTCAATCAGCGAAATGAATTACATCGAAAAGAGAACCGACAAACTCTTCATGTTTACGAAGGCAACTGACACGCATATTCTAAACGTGCACCGCCAGTGCTAAGATCATATTTCGTTAACAACCTGCTGCTCTGTAGTGCTCTGAGAGGGGACCCATAAATGTATTAATTAATTAATTACACACATCTGAAGAGAATAGTTCCCCCGTATTTTGGCAACAGTATTTGACATCGCCATATGAATTTCTCGAGATTCAAGGAAAAGCAAACTAAATGTTTGAAGTTATGTCCTGGTATTGACCACAAATTTTTGAGTTACATCCTTCAAGAATTACTTATACAAGCCACAAAGTATATGAAAATTCATAGAGACAATAAACATTTTAGAGTAATTTAAAAAAAAACGTCATGGAAATTATAATAAGAAATTTGAACATTTTTATTATTTCTTTAATACATTTGCTTACGTATATAAATAACGCATACCAAATATTAAACCTCAAAACCCAAATAATTCAGGTTGTGACACCCAGCTATTCCTTTTAAAAAACACAAAACGCACGGGAATGATCGTGAATTATTTTTGACTTGTGTAAAGCGTATTTGTATTTAATCTACGCCAGTTTGTATTTGTGCTTAATGTGCTTTACATGATTATTTCGCATTTTATTCTGTCCCTGCTTATATATTGTTTGAGGGAGCGGAGCTAAATAAGGGGCATAAACACCGTTTCGGATGACTGATTCCCATATTGGTGACGTCGCGAATAAGACCCGACGCAAGAGAAATCCAAAAATTTTATAAAAAGTATTACAGTACCCTGTGGAACTTTCTTTCAAAAATTATGTTCAGGTGTCACTTTAGCCCTAGCCGAGCAAATATTGTTAACTCTTCGAACTTGCACCCACCCTACTGCAGTCCCCATAAGAATGCCTTCTTGATATATATAATATAAAGAACATTATATGTTATCAATGCTAATATACTTTAAAATCAGGATTTAGGTTTCCACTATTTTAAAAAAATCCTTTTTGTTGAATAATTTACATTTTAGTTGGTAATCATTTGAATTTTAAAAATTAAAAAACTTTAAGCTGATTACAAAATTATATTCGTGGTTAAATTTTCGGAACATACATTTTAGCTTCAACATCGCGAACCTCAGCAAAAGAAAAACTTTCGGTATTTTGTATGTAAGATGTCACGATAAACATATCCACTAAAGGTAAATTATCAGATTGACCTTTTACTAATCGGTTTCGGTCATTTTGATATTAAACACAAGATAAACGCAAGCGAGATGGTCAAGAATAAAATTAAAATTAAAACCACCAAGACGAACACGTTGTCGTTCTCTAACGGCTTCTCTATGTTACCGTCTGGCTGGCGTGTGACGAGCAAATTGACGTCAGAACTGGTCACAACCAATGACAGTGCGTTTCAACGAGGATTTAAATTTTACAATTTTTAATTGCTTGTATTTGTTATATTGAACTACGAAATTATTTTTTTTGTGAACTGTGGCTCTTTTAATAGTATAAACTTACTTTCATAAGCAACCTTTTTCAAACTAAAATTCTGTTCAAGTTCCCTATTGTAAAGACGCGATATTTTATATTTTATTTTAATAACATTTTATAAAATAATATATACTTACTAATATTGAACTAAAGTTGAATTCGCTTTATTGCTGTCAATTTTTTGAGTCCATGTACCTATTGATTTAAAAAAATATTAAAATTAAATACGCAGTATAACGGGTTATTGGATTTTTTGATTTTTAATTGAAAAAAATAATTATGTTAGGTGTTTAACAACTGTTATAACAACTATTGATGATATTTATAGGTACACATAATCTGCTATGTACGTCTTTATATACAATGAAACTTACATAAATTTACAGGTTGTCCTATCTGAAAATTTCTCGATCTGTGATGGGGCCCATCCGGCTAAAATATTTTTAAGATAGCCCATTATACCGGAAACGGATGTTAACTTGCTTATTTTAAACATGAAAAGTCATTTTTTCGAATCGTCAGAAAATTCTAATCACATTTTATGAATAATCTCCTAAACGTTGCCATTTTTGAAATCTGTAGTATTTTGGGTCCAAAAATGACACGGACTTGAAGAATAAATTGCTATAATTTATTGGAAAATTTCACTAATAGACTTGTTAGTATTTCCTTTTGTACATATTTCAGTTCATGCGTTTTGTTTTTAATCTCTTGTAATACCTGGCAAATACAAATTGTAACTATCGTCTATAGTATGTTGATAACTCTTAAAGTTGACAACAAAATAACCGTTGCATATAAAGCGGTTCAAAATAAAAATTTCTTCGTCAGTAATTGTGTTACGTAACAAACTGTGTCAAAAGTTGGCGGTGTAAAACCCGCTTTACTCTTCCGATAAGTTTACTTTCCCCCAGCGGACGCCCATGGCACCGAGGAATGCGTTACATAACACGTATTCGGATTTAGTGGGTCAAGATGGTCCGGCAGTGCCGTTAGCTGACACGGAAACATCGCCGTAAAAAGACCATCCGCGGCGACGAATCTGATAGCCGATCAGGCGATTAGTTATGCGCAACGCGCCATCTATCGGCCGAATTTAATAACTCGGTCGCATTTGACGGTTTTGATTTAAAAAAATAACATGAAAATTGTCCGCACCATTGGTTCTCCGACAAAATATCTAACTTCCTTATTAAAACACTTTATAGGGAAAACGAACAGTTTCGTACTTAATTCCTTTCACTTCATTGAACAAATAAAAAACATTACATTAAATACACAAGATATTCTGGTTAGTTTCGACATAGAATCCCTCTTTCCTAAACTTCCTATTCCTGGAACTATCACCATCATTCAATATATACTAAAAACCGAGAATCTGGAACCAAACCTTCTCACCTTAATTGAAAAATGCTTGTCTGGTCCATATTATTCCTATAAAGGTCACATTTTTGAACAAACGTCAGGAACAGCTGTGGGTTCTCCACTATCACCAGTCATCGCGAATGTATTCTTTCATCTGGAACCCAAATTATGGAAACGATGATACGATACGATGATGATTTAGTCTCATGGTTAAGAATCTCTACTAGATTTTCTTAGACATTTAAACTCTATACGCCCTAACATACGTTTTACCATTGAAATAGAAACTAATAACTACCTCCCATTCTTATCAATAGAAAATGAAACCTAACATTGGGTCATTGTGATTACAGAAAACCTATGCATAAAGACCGATGCCTTCATGCAGTGTCACATCACCATCCGGCCCAAAAATAATCGGTTATCAACTCCTTGTTTACAGAATTAACCAACTTTTCTCTTCTCTTTAATAATTTCCGCATTAAAGATATTAAGCGTTACATCACAAAATACACTTCGCCACAACCTTCCAATAGCAATGAAGCAGAAAGCATTTCCACACAACAGTGGCAGTTGTTCTTCCTTACATTCAAAACATCACTCACCACATATCAAATGTTCTAAAGAAATATAACGTCAAAACCAGATTTATCACTTCTTAACATCTTTGATCCGTCAAGGACAAAATTCCCTTTGAGATGCCAGGAGTTTAAAGCATTCCATGCATATGCGGCAAAGAATATATTGGAGAAAAAACATGAAGAACGTGAAAGAGCCTTAAGAATAAGACAAATAAACTTGCCGAACATAATCACGAAACGGGACATAAAATTTAAGCATCCCAAGAATCGTAACCGCGACTCAGGTCTCTACATGTCACCAATAACAGGCTGATTGGCGAAACGTTAGCTAGTTTGACTCAATAAAAACCCACGCAGGAGGAATTCAGAAGTTTTATAAAAAGTATGAAAATTCCCATTCGACATAATAATTCTTTCTAGCCGCCCATGCCAAGGAAGTCAATATTTTTACGTATTATTTAAGTTTAACTGGAGTGTCAATTTGCACTAAAGACTAAGAAAATTGCCTTTTAAAGACATCCTGTATCTTTTCCATTTCTAGGTTCCTCGAATGGCAGGAACATCAGGAACCTGCCGTGCGTGTCAAGGAAAAACAACGCGCTGACCGGCGTGTGCATGTTCGCAATCGACTGCCTGAAAGCCAACGGCACCCATCTAGGTACCTGCATCGACAGGTTTTATTTCGGTTCCTGTTGCCACGTGGAGCCTCACCACGACATCGTGGACAACAGTATCGACACCGAGATCATAGACGTGAGGGAGCCACCAGAACGGCTTCACAACACCACACTTGCGCTTCTGGGTAACTCCAGTACCACCTCCAACGAATCTACCTCTACGCAAATACCTTTTGAAACGAAAAAACCCACATTCACCGTCAGTAACGGCATCATTACGAGAATAAATTCTACAGTAGCGACACCCGGTTCTGGTACCACTACACCGACACCAGACAAACTCCAGACCTTCCAAATGGTCAATGGTGAAGCGACCACCTTGAAAATTCCATCAACTACCACCGTAAAAATTAGCAAACCTCCAAAAACCACGGCCGTTCCCTCCAAACCGTCAACAGCGAGCCGGCCTAAACCTACCACTGCCAAACCTAGTCCGACATCGCCCTCTAAACCGACCAAGACAACCAAACCCACACCGAAGCCTACAAAACCCAGTAAAACTTCAACGACAACAAAGAAGCCCTACACTACAACTTCTAGGAGTACTACCAGTAAAAAACCGACCACAACGAAACCGACGAAGAAATACACCCGACCCAGTACGATCACGACAGGTAATTTTATGCTCTAACTATTTTTTTACGCAACGCAGTTTACATTGCAGTGTTTACCACCAAAACGCCCTTGAACACCACCAGGAAGCCTACCACGCCTACCAAAACCACGAGCATACCCTTCTCCACGGTATCAGGTCAAAGCAGTACCGCAGCGATTCCAAACGTTACGCAACCGCCATTAACCCAGCAGAACGTTTCTGTAGTGACCAATTTGACATCAGGGGTGGTAGTCGAAACTGCTGGTATTCTGACGGTGACCAACGCAAACTCCACAGTATCGACAACCACTTTTAAGCCTGCGTTGGTTACTTGGACGCTTGAAGACAGCAAGAACGAAACTGTACAGGCAGCCAACGGTACTCAAAATAACGTTACTCAGGGTAGAAATTATTTTTATAATATTTAGTACCGCTTAGACACTTAATATGAATGCAGGTTGGATACCACTCACTACTCCCGACGGTTGGGTACTCCTGCCCAGCGTTACGCCTCTCACGCCTGCATCGGGCAATGAAAGTCTAACTTCAAACGTTAACCAATCGTATTCCACGACGACCGCCATATCATCAACCGTTTCACCAGAAACTACTTCAGCTTCTGGGGTAAGCACATTTCCTTGGCCGACGCTGACACCGTCACAAGAAGGTGCCACGGAAGCAATGGAAACTACTACCGATAAGGAAAAAACGACCACTTCAATTCCTGCAGTCGGTGGGTCGACTGACGGTGGGACTACGATGATGACCACCAGCGGAGCTGCAGCCAACGTATCCACTGAAGAACCGCTGCCCAAGCCTGTCAACATGAGCGATTTTACTGACGGTAAGGAATGCCACAATTTGGATAAAGCTTTTATTATTAAATTGGTCAGAAATAATGAGTTTTTACTAAGTAATGCGTTTATTTTACATTTTCGTTATTGTTACTATTAAAGTAATTAAACTGAGCCCGGCAAAACTTTTCCAATTTCATAGAATGACGCGACAGCAACTACGCGGAAGGAAAACTTTTCCTATTGCTTTTCATAATACCGTTTACGGCGGCAAAGACGGCATTTTAAGGGCTTCCGCCGCGAACACATTTATTTTTCTATAAGCGAGACCAAATCGGTTTGACGTCCAAGGCAGACTTTGTTTTGAATGACGGACCCAATTTTCGTGTCAGATTCCAAACGAGTCATCCACAGAAGGCATCATCCCGTATCTGTTCTCCTTTCTTTACGCTCGCCGGTTAGGAAATTACCTAGGCTAATCAGCCGGCTACTAGAAATACTTAAGGGTTATGACAAGGCAGGGTCGGTTTAAGGTTCTAAATGATGCCGGGTCGAAATGATAACAATAAAATTTTGGCTCTCAATTCTGCGTAATTGGTGCTTTCCTTTGCCTTCAAGACCAGGCGGGGCCAGTTTAAAATTCGGTATTCGATTTAAGCACCGCACTAAAAGGGTGATAAGATTTAAAAAAATTATTTTACAGATTTTGATTTGGAAAATTCTTTTCTTTGAATTCAAATTTTAAATTTGCCTTTGCCTTCCGAACGAGTGTAGCATTGTTTGCCATAAAATATCAACAAAACCTCGCGGTTTGAAATCCGTTCCTGTTGCTGGGTAGTTCTTCGAACCTTCAAGGTAATTCAAAACCGGGCGAACGTCCACACGGAAAAAACAAAGCAATAACGACGCGTAACGAGATCGAAACGCATCAAGTCGGGCCGGCATACTCTCCCGAGTTAACTGCCCTTTATTTCCAGCTTCTAGAACCCATTAAGCGTTTTTGCGTTGTCCACCTCCTTCGAATTAATTTAAGACCGCTTTTAGACAGTCCGTACCGAACGATAATGAGATAACAAAAAATTTAAAATGGAAAATTTATAATTTTTTGCCGTTTAGTTTTTTGAGTTATATTTAGCAAAACTTAAAATTATTACATCTACCAGAAGCGTCCAAGTAAGTTACTCTTTTCTTTTTAAACCCCCCTTTTTTAGAGATAATTCAGAAAATTCACTGATGAATTAACCGGAAGTGCCTAAAACCAAAATGGTATTCTAGCAGACCAAAAGAAAACTATGCACGGATGCCTTGCTTGGAGCGATTGCCTGGGCTTTTATTAATCTTGAGACCGGATCTATTCATCATTATTGATTGCAAATCACATTCTTATTAAAATTTACAAAATGGAATACACGCACGCGCCTTCCTATAAATTGAATCCACATATTCAGTTTCTGGAACCTCAGAACGTTTTTTTTTTTTTAAACATCCACGGTTTGGGCACCTGCATCTATCTTAATTTACATCTAATGTGGAATTGACTTTACTTATACGCACTGGATAATTACGTTTTCGTAACCGAATATTCATTGACAGATTAATTGTTCAAATAAGATCAAACAACAAGTTTCACCTACAAGTATAATACTCTTAAAATAAATTCTCAAAAAAAAGATTAATACTTTTGACTATATATTTTTATTATACCTCCTACATGCTTGTGTCCAACTTTCAAATCCCACTTTTGGCAACAGTTTAGAGAGTTTTTGTGGAATGAGTAATAGAAAGTTGAAAGCGTTAATCTTCTTTCCTTTTTTCATTGATTTTGGATATTGGTTCTTTTTGCATTTGCAGCTCACCAGCCGCTTTTATTTAATTTAATTCTATATTAAAACTGTTGTATTATAATTGCAGACCCCTTTTATAAATAAAAGACTAAATAAAAAGACGAAACAGTTAAAAAAAAAGTTGCCCAGGGAGGACAATACTTTGCACATAAACTTCATTCTCTCTTTCTTTTATTTTGTCCTCTACGAAAGGTACACCCTACATATCAGACATTATCCATAAATATAAACTATGGCAATAATGTTTACAACAAATAATAAAATGACCGAAATGAAAATTAGGGAGCTTCTTATTAGAAATTATGAGGATTCGTTTATTACGGAAAATTTTTGAATGAGCACCGTATAATTTGTAGTTATACTTTATGTTGATAAATAAAAACTCTTTCGTTTGATCTTCGTCTAGCCAATTACATCAAAATTTCCAGTCAGTTATTTTCGATTCAGGGAAAATATTCGCAAGCAATGTTGTTTTGACCGATTTGACTTTGACATTTCGTCCTAGTTCGCCAAGCTCATATATTCTTACGGAGCGTAGGCAAACTTTTTCTGCTTCCTATTTAAGCGTCGAAAAATTTTACCCCTGAGAAACTTCCGCAGGGACGACGGACGGAATTTGAATACAAAACGTGGACCAATTGCCCCCCTGCATCCGCAAAACTGCAGCTTTCCGCCGTTCGACTATAATCATTTTATTGAACGAACGCGACGTTGCCGTCGTACGTATTTTAACAATCTGTCAAACGTTTAACAGTGTGCGGGCGCCGGATGTATCCCGAAGCGAGGATAGTGGGCGGGGAAAAGTCGACCTTCGGCAGGTGGCCCTGGCAGATATCCCTGCGGCAGTGGAGGACTTCGACGTACCTTCACAAGTGCGGGGCGGCGTTGCTTAACGAGAACTGGGCGATCACGGCTGCCCATTGCGTCGATAAGTAAGCGCCAACCATCTTTTTATTTGGTATATTCCAGCTGTGATAATTAGGTATAAATAAATAAAGTGTAAAAATTGGCTATTTAAAAGATTTGCCTAATATTCCGTTTTTCATCGAGCCTTTAAAATATGAATACAATGAAGTTTTGTTTTTTTTTTCTAGGGCGTCATCTCAAATACAAAGCCAATATTTTTCAATTTAAAATTTAATTGGCCAAAAACATTATCTTTGAGATATTTTTTCTAGTATTCTAATAATAAAATTATCCTTCGGAAATTTTAAACCTACGGCCGTCATATTGAAAGGCTAAATTGGTGTACGTGTAATAGTAGTTGTACAAATCAAGTTAAAGTTAAGTTTTATGAGGTTCTGTAAAACTATATAAACTAGAAAATGATAATTTTTCATAATATATTAATATAAAAATGAATAAAGCATAACATGGCTGCATTATCAAAAAGCAAAAAAATATAAAAATACATTTGACAGTTAAAATAAAACGAAATAAAACTGAAATTGAACCATCATTTAAAACTAACATAAATTGTAAAAAAATATATAGAGTCCGTATTTAAGATTCACACTCCAATGACGATCCTGAAAAAATTAAATTTCAAACAAATGTTAAAAATTTGCAATGAAAAACTGTTTTCAAAGTCAAAAAAATTAAGATCTTACAGAAACTACAGGTTATATCGAAAAATATTTTTCTCAAACGCGAGGATTATTACTACGCCAAGAAATTTTTTTTATCGTTAATAATAACAGAGTTTTACCGTATAATACCCAGTATAATAACGAAAAAATGTGAAGTAAAGGATGTGACACGAATCTCATTGGGAATTTTTTACTACATAAAAAAAATTTCAATGATTTATTTAATTTATTTATTTATGTTTTTCGGCCACTTATAAGAATTTCTTATCCGAATCGATTAGAACATATATCAGACACTGTGGGGTCATGGTCAATTTTTCAAGCATCTGCTAAAGAGGAAATAAGTTTCCTGAGTTTTAGCGGTTACAAATTTGTTACAGAGTATAACACGACCAAAAATATAGTGCATTTATTGCTTTGACGTTTTAAGTGTTTTACAGTGCCTTAACCGCAAACCTTCGCAGGACCGTGGTAAAACCCATCCCACCAGATGTTTATTCTGCATTAAGTCAGTCTTGCCTGAGATGCACCGTAACGAATATTTGTAGAAACTTGAAATTTCTATTTGAAACGTTTTAAATTTGCTGGTATTTGCCTGGTATTTTCGAATAAGTAGAAGCGTTTATTTTAACATCAGGTGATTTGTATCGTTCTATTCATATTTCTATTTATATATAACATTACAATGCTATTGTGGTATTTCAAATACGAATCATGACTTAACTTAATTTTGACTAACCAAATAATTTTTGCATTTGAATTTAAACTGTGTATGGGTTTAGACAAGTCTTTTTAACTTTTTCAACTCTTGCGATATCTTCTTTGCCTAAACATGAGCCATGGATTGCATGAGTGAGTCAGCGACCAATTAGTTTTATTTTCTAAGATACAAATTGTTAATTATTGTCTAAATTTAGTCCTAAATTGTTGAAATATTTAAAATTTTTGCTTTTTATTTTTATTTCAGTTTTATTTCAGCTTTATTATTTATTAAGTTCAGTTTTATCTTGGTTACTGCCAAGAATTGCATTTATTTCTATCGTGGCGATATTTTTTTGAGTACAAACCATAAGAGTATTAATTCTTATTCGCAAACAAATTTGCTGAATGACTCTACCTACGCGTTTTACCTACAGCGTACCGCCGAGCGACCTTCTGCTACGCTTAGGGGAATACGACCTATCGACGGAGGGGGAACCGTACCTCCACCAGGAACGTCGCGTTCAAATAGTCGCTTCGCATCCTCAATTCGATCCCAGTACTTTCGAGTACGACCTCGCCCTGCTGAGGTTCTACGAACCGGTACACTTCCAACCGAACATTCTGCCGGTGTGCGTACCTAAAAGCGATGAAAATTTCGTCGGCAGAACCGCCCACGTCACGGGATGGGGGAGACTCTACGAGGGTGAGTTACGAAGGGCACTGACAAAATATACTTAAAGAGATTTCACATTTTCAGAAAGGCGAAAAAAAAACCTTGGGGCATAGCGAAATAAAATTAAGGCAAAAGTTTGTAATTTTGTCAACTAACTTTCAATTAAGCGCTTTTGCTATAAAAGTGGAAAATGTTTGTCAATATGTTTCTTATACACCATCGAAGAATAGTAGAGAAAAAATGTTTATATAAATAATAATATTATTTATATTAAATATTTATAAACTAAGCTAATATGTGCCGCACTTCGGTCAGTACGAAATATTACTACTCTCAAAGTATATTCGGCACGCATATGATAATTTGTTTAAAAAAGTTCTAGAGCTTCTAGTCCATTTATTCAGATCTTATACTAGGAACTAAAACATTGCAGATATTTTCAAATCTTAAGTTTGTTAAGTTATAGTATTGACCAAATAAAATGTACTGTATTTCGGTGGTTAAAAATTCACTTTAGACTTTAGAAATTGATAGCCAATAAAGGAATTTACTCCACGGCTGTAGGTTTTTAAAAATTTTGAAGAAATTCACCCAAAAGAAAGTTTTTATAATAACAGAGATGATCAGACGGGCACAAAATGTAGCCAAAATAGTTTCTCGATGGTGTGTTAAGTTATTCGAAGTCATTCATAGAGATACGGAACAAGGCACTAGATTAAATAACTTATAGGTGTAATAATAGGTAAAGTCTGTTCATAGATATAAGAAAGTGATACGAATTAAGGAAAGACCCGGGCAAGCTGTAAGAATGAAATATGGCCGAACAGGTCCGTACTTTGCTTAGAAGTTAATTATTTGGGTTTTTGTTAGGAAAGATACTAAACAATATATATTTATTTATGTATGTATTTATGTTTAAATCTAAAATAAAATTACTAATTATTTTTAATACCTACTTCAATTATTTAAAATTATTCACATAATACATTAGTATCACTATCGCTATCATCGCCTATTCTAATTATTATTTGTTCTATATTATTTGCAATATGGATATACGAACTTTGTGGAGGGATGTTAAAAACTTCGGTTTGATGCCTTAAAACTGTATGCCCCAGATTTTTTGCATAATTATCACAGACGTATTCCTTTTGCAGGTTCAAGCTTTGTAGAACCTCAATCAATTGCTTTTTGGTATAATCATCGTGAAAATAAATGTTGTTATTATACATGTAATTTTGGATTGTTGCTTTTGTGTCACCTTTTGTTCCTCGTATAACTGGTAAATTTTACGCCGTATTATATCTTTCATCTACACTCAAAATGTCGCTTCTTTTTTTCCTCGCTGAAATGGGATTATTCACAATTTTCCATACAGTTGATGTTGGAATTTCTTCTAAAGATGCTTGCTTGCTGGCACCACGTTCAATGAGAGTCAAATAAACATTGTTTATAACTTCCTTAGTCTCAATAGAATAGTGTTTTCTACATTTGGGCGGGAGCATCTCCTGAGATAAATTAGACTCGCACATATTTTGCATAATTCGCACACGATTGAACACACGCTGTATTACACACGAAATAAGAATGATTACTAATAAACTAAGTAGTATACCAAACCAGAGAATATTAAACGCAGGTAGGTATAAAATTATTTTCTATTACGGACCACAATTTTACCTGAATTTAAATTCCGAAACTTTAGTTAATAATCTTGTTGCATTGTATGTTAATGACCACCCTTGGATAATCCCATTCCAAAGCAAATGGTCATTTTCTTATATCTATGAACATACCATAGCCATGTTAAAATATTTTCTTCGTGATGGCTCAAACGCCACGTTTCAAGAACATTCGTCATTCGTCCAACTAATTCGTAAACTCATACGTATTAAGGAATAATAAAAATAGCATAATCTTACGTTAAAAAAATGATTGAAAATGGGAGTGGCCACTACATTGAGGAATTGCAAAGTAAGCTAAAGCAAAGTTCGCAAATATACAAGTTGTTGTTTGTAGACGGACCGTTGCCGAGCGTTCTCCAAGAGGTGTCTGTACCCATCATCAACAATTCGGTTTGCGAGTCGATGTACAGGTCGGCGGGTTATATCGAACACATCCCCCACATATTCATCTGCGCGGGGTGGCGCAGGGGTGGTTTCGATTCCTGCGAGGGCGATTCAGGCGGTCCTATGGTTATCCAGCGCGACGACAAGAGGTATAGTGATTTCAGCAAATTTTTGAACCCACCGCTATAATTGAACAAAATTTGGGCGACTTACATAGGGGATAAAAACCAAGTTATGTTAAAAAGGATGGAGCGCTTACATTTTTTAAATTATAATATTGTTAATAGCAGAACTCTATTGACCAAAAGTTACGAGCAAAATTTAGTAAAATTTTTAGATAATTCATACTAACTAGCCATTAAGGAGATGTTTGCATAGGATTAAACAATAATAATTATCGTAATTCTAAATAAATAGGTATCACACAGCTTTATTAATCTATATTTCGTTATATGATGCGAGAGAGTAATTCAATCCAGATGTGCAATGACATGTGTCATTAAACATGGTGGACAACTTATGTCCTAAAGTTCAGATAAATGGCAATTATAGTTTCCGATAAATTCTGTATTTCAGTTTGTAACATCTCGAATCGTTCCTAAATTATTGTCACGCTAATTTGCATACAATAGAAAGACGAGTTTCGTGAATGGAACTAATTTATTAATATTATAAATATAATAACATATTATAAACATAATAACATTAATATAATATATGAAAATAAATAAAATGTAATAAATATCTTTTTTTAAAACTAATATTTACAATATTTGTAAATTTCATTCATTATGTTCCGAATAATCAGCCGAACGACAGTTCGCCGAATTTCAAAGAAATAATAAGGATCTCTACAATGTTTTCTAGCTTGTTATTAGTTTCCTACATTCTTTCTTCCATTTCAATCGCATATTTGACGCACGTACTCAATTTTTTATAATTCACTGTGTTTATTCTCCCTTGAAAGTTGGTTTCAACGTCCCTTGTTTTGAAAGATATGTCTCCACTCTTTCTCTATTACAAGTGATTTTCTATTTTGAGTTTTTTCGACAAATTCTTCTCACCCGTGGGTGGAATAATAATAATAATATAAACTGTGAGGGCGGCATCCAACATAGTTGCTCTCATGCAACCCCCTGAACGAAGTCATCCTTTCATTTCAGACATTATTTTGTCCAAGGTAGATAACTTTTTTTAAGTTGTTATTTATTTAAAATGACACCGATAATAAAATAAGCATCACAAAATATTATTTTAAATGTTTAAAATAGCAATATATTTAAAAAGGACATTTTAAATAAGGAAAATCTTTTTTCATTTAACGCTATCCTTAGACTAAAAAGTCCTATGTTTTAGTTTCAGGCACATTAAATGTTAATGTAACAGTTTTTCTTATTTATAACGCAGTTCTATAATCGGTTTTATAATAAATTTCTTATAAAATATAATGTTTTCATTTGAATTAATTTTTTTAAATTTTTTGAGTTAATATATTAATAATTAATATATTTACTTCGAGTGTTCGAAGGGTCTTCGAAGCGCGAGCATTGAAGTTGCCAAGTGAAATCTTGACGAAACGTCTGCAGGATTCCAGTCGGAGTTCAACGAACGAACGGATGATATCCCGGAATATAGTGTCATCATGCATATATATATATATATATATATATATATATATATATATATATATATATATATATATATATATATATACCGTCATACAAACTACTCTTACAAACAAGAAAACTGTTACAAAAACTTGTGGGTACTGAAAATGCAAACGACAAATGTTAGGAAATATTTTAGAAGGCTGCTCTTAAAATATAAATGATCCAGTTTGATTAACAGTCATATTATTATTATAACAGAACGGAAAAACGCTCTTTTGTAATAAGTGGGTAATAATTTGTTTTAAACATAATTCCGTTTAAAGCAAATAAGCAACACATTAAATATAAAAAAGATGTTTTAAAGTAATTAAACTAATAATTTATAAAGAAATCAATATTAAAATATTTACAAAAAAGAGTTTATTTATTTCAAGCTGATTTTTTGCGCATTTTAAATCGATTTCTTTTGTGAGTGTGCTTACTTAACGTGGCCGAACAACACTTTGAACATTTTGGTCTTATCTACCACAGCCTTCCATCTCGTTCTATTTCTCGCTACTTGTTCTCAGTTCTCTATGTCCGTCATCTCTAGATCTGTCTCTATTTTTTCTTTCCATCTTTGGTCGTTCTGTGAGCCTTTTTTCGCTGAGCATGCCTTTATATACGCTTCCGATATCTGTTCTCCGCTCTAATTACAAGTCCTAGCCAGGCGAGCCTTCTGGCTCTTATTGTGCTTGTAATCAAGATTTGGTTGGTCATCTCTTTCTTATCTCATCGCATCTTCATTTTCTCCGCTGCGGTGTTTTTCTTTTTTTTTCACATAAATACCTGAGTGTAATACTTTGGTAAATATCAAATGTGTACAAAAAATAGCAAAAATTACGAACTTTGAAGTTTTTAAAGTATGTTGTGAGTTCATGAAGGCCAATGTCATCACAATTAAGAAATTTTCGCAGATGTTTTTTATAATTTTAATATTAAATTATACTTATTAAGAAAAAATAACGCTTTTCTGGTTGACTCTCTTTAAGGTTTCAACTGGCCGGTATCATTTCCTGGGGGATAGGATGCGCAGAACCCAACCAACCGGGGGTTTACACCAGAATCAGCGAATTCAAGGACTGGATCAACCAAATACTGCAATTCTGATCGGCCAAAAGGAAGAAGAGCGAAAATACTCACTAGAGGAGGAACGATGATATATACGACCACGTCGCACCCAACCACCTCTCCGCCGCACGGCGAAGATTGTGATATTAATGTGTCGATCTACCCAAAAAAAGGCTCAAAATGATCGCGAGAAGTCTAGAAACTCGTTATCCGAGAACCGAAAGACTCGCCCATGTAAAATATACATAATAGATAAGTAATTTATTATTTAGAGCGAGATAGTTATGTTTAAATTAATAATTAGGCTACCCTCTATGCCCGTCCGAACTTATTGTTGTACTTAACAATCTTTGTTTGTAAATACCGGTGCCTGTGACTTAATTTTTTTTTGTATAGACCCAATAAAGATTGTTTATTTATGACAATTTGGTTTTAGTTATGGGATCCAATGCCCATTTTTCATTTTTGCTTTTTTCTGTATAGTTTGTCTAGACGCTAGCCATTATTCTGACAATGTTTAAAGTTGTTTTTGACGAAATATTTTATCGTTTCTCTTCTTTTCCTTTAAAAAAATTCTTGATTAAGACACAAGAAGAAAAATTAAATCTGTTGTTTCCAAATCGAACAAGGTCTCGTGGTCGAAAAAATAATAAAAATCTGTTTAAAAATATGTTTTTAAATGTGCCAAGAAATTGTCTGATTCAAGTCGATCGTTTCATTGCTTATGCGTTTGATTCAATTGTAGTTAAATTTAAATTACGAACATTGGAAAGATCCTTGCAGTACATGGCAATCGACTAAGAAAAAACTAGAAATATAAAAGAAAATAAATAAATAAAAACATTTTTTCTTTTAATTGAGAACCGTTAGGTGATTTTTTTAACTGTTTAAGTCTGAATATATTTCCTTATATCCTCGATAAACATTTCCTTCATAGATTAACACACCAATAAAACATAAAAAATATTTACCTTAGATTATATTGTTTGCCCTTTTTAAGTTCCAAATTTTACTTCTGCATCCAAATTTACTTTAAAAAGTCTTTGGTTTTGTTACTCAGAATTGAACCAGTCTAAAAAGTATAACCTGCCACTGAAAAGTAGATCTCTGAACACTCACGCTGCCACCAAAGCGTCAACAAAACTGCACCAGAAATGGAGAAATGGAGCGAAAATTATGAACTATGCTCAAAGAACACAAAAGTGCCTTACGACTAAGACAAACTCATCAGCTGTTGCCGAATACAATAAAACTAAAATTCTTGCATATAATCAATTCTTCTACCAACGAAAAATGCGAGAGGCTATAGAAATCCATAAACAACCTAACAATCTTAACCGCGACTCAGGTCTCTACCTGTCACCAATATAGGAGTCAGTCACCCGAGACGCTATTTATGGCCCTCATTTTGCTTAGCCCCCCTCAAACAATATATATGCAGGTACAGAGTAAAATGCGAGCCAGTTTCAGTCAAGCTCTGAAGAAGCCAACAGGATGTTTGGCGAAACGTCAGCAAGTTCGAATCAGCAAAAACCGACGCAGGAGGAATCCAGAAGTTTTATAAAAAGTACACTGTCAAAAAATACGAAAACTGGGAAACGAAGTACAAAAAAGTAAAAACAATAACAACAATAGCAAGCCTTCTTTAGATATTAATGATAGGCTACGAGTTTTAAAATATCAATTTCGTATTTAGTCGACGTTCCGGCAAATTTATTGACTTGTTCAGGATTGTGAGCAACACTTCCTATACTTCTGCAACGTTGCTTGACTTCTGCGTCATATGTATTGTCCATAATTTTGCTGTAAATTCTAAGACTAAATAAGCAATTGATTTTCTTTAAACCTCAAGACCAAAACCACCACTTAAAATATGAAGAAACTGCTTATATTTTAATTAGAAAAATGAACTGACATAATTAAAAGTTAATGATTTAATCATAACAAATACGTTGGTGCGGATAACACGAGCCGTACTTGCCAAGGTCACTGAATGCCGATCGCTTTTAACAGTCCATCTTTCGCATCTACGTCAGGGTAATCTCGGACCATCGTTCCGCCGCGTCCATCAAACCAGACCGCGAAATACTGTCGTTACTGGGCCGGTACGGCTCGTGAGACGAAAGCGTCGAACAAAAGGGCAAGTAATCCCTGCGACGATAGAAATCGTGCGTGACAGGTGCATCGAGAACGCGTCGCATTAGGTGGTACCATTTGCCGCTGCCGGTCGTACCGCCGTCGTCGCGGAAGACCCGCTAACGTGCCCCACTGACCCAGAAATGTGGCACTGCTGACCAACAATGCCCGTATCAGTGGATGTTCTTTAGTCTGCCCGCGGTACCACCCGTGACACACGCGGTAGTACCGACGACCGAAATATACGCGAAACTCTCGCCGCTTTCTTCTTGATGCTGACATCGTCGCCGAGACAGTACCCAGAAATTGACGACAGTTCGGGCAGTACCATACCGGTATATCGATACGTTATCGCGAGCCTAGGATGCAATTTAACGGAAAAGGGTCGTGAAGCACAGTGTTTAATTTTCGAGTTTTTACCGGACGACGATGAAGTGGCAATACTGTTTCTTGGGCCTTGCTTGTCTGGTATTGGCGGACAGTACCGCGATCCGTCAGGCAAAAGGGGTTAGTAGTAGGGGTGAGTATCGAAAGCGATCGAAGTTTCCGGGACGCTCGGTTCTCTTCAGAAAAGGTATTTTTGATGGGTTACCGGTATAGCAGTATCGAAAGTAGTTCGGAAACTATTCATGAATAAACGGAAAAGAATCTTTTCCAAAGTTTACTGCTAAAAAACGCAAAATCTAACTACTTACCAGACCAGAAATGTTGTTTAAAATCTCAAATCTCAGTCCATGAAGTCATTTCACGTACTTTAACTACTTCCTGTAGCCAGTACTGAAACGAATATAGGTTTTAGAATTTTATTTTGAATTTCCCTCAGACGATGAAGTATGTTTAAGGATAAATGAAGATAAGAGGCTGTTTAGTAAGCGGAATAAACAAAAATTTCGGCCTGAACCACTTTTATCCCCACCTCTCAAAGCGAAACAAATTATCTCGCCGAAAGAGTGGAAAGACTTGTGTATTTCGATTCATATTTATTCATCAATTATCCGATCTCTTTCGGATAAAATGTTATCTCGGTCGTTTTCCTCCTCGGTTGGTGAATTCCGATTATCGTCTGCCGATCAAGAAGGATGCGACGACATCACGATATTCGCGACGTTCCAGTTAAAAACGGGTCTATCACGGCGTCGTGCGTTATAAGATGGGCAAACACACACACATCCACACAATGTAAATATCGGGGTCAGTATACCTGCTATATGACGTTTAGACAGGAATGTGTAACACGACGACGTAGGTATTATTATTTAACCGTAAATTTACTCCAAAAGTGATGTTAATAGACCGCCTCGGTAGCCATTAACCTGCCTAATAAAACAACGGACGATCGTTAATTGTCGGTATTAGGAGCGGAATACCTTGAAAATGATCTCTGATTAGACGCGTTCGGTCAGCAGTAGCATCGAATACTGTTCGGCGCGTTAGACAGGGTGCTCAGCGAAGACCGAGACCGCAATGACGACGAATTCCTAAGAGTCAAGTGTAAGTGTAAAGTGACGTCACAAGTCATACGGAAATTTTTTTAATATATATTACTGCTTGACGAAAACGCCAGGTCTTTGCTCATATTTTTTGTATAAAGCTTTTGCTATGTAACATAAAACGCAAATTAATAGCGGTTTGTTTTATAACTTTTTTAAATTTTATAAATAAATGTAATAAACCATACCAAAAAAATAGATTTCATAAATAATTTTGTGGTTGCAGTCTCTACAATTTAATCAATATATTTATGTTTAGGGTGGTCTATATAGAACCCACAATTAAGTCATAGTCCATAAAAAAATATTTATTCGTAAAATCCTAAAATCTCTTAAAAAAAAGCGTAATTTAGTCGATGACCACAGACCATATGAATCCAATTTCAAATCTGATATGTCAAAATTGAGACTTTCTTCTTTCTCACTGGGATAATATTGGTTTGTTGAGACATACTTTAGAATAAGTGACATTAAAAAATTGAGCTACTGCCTAATTTCTGGGTTTTCATTGTAATATGTTTAATAAATAATTATAATAGTGTTGTATTTTAAGCCTGTTAAATCATATCTATTTTTGCGTATTTTTGTTGTTGTTTATTTTTACGTTATTTTTATAACTTTTAACTTTTTCATTTGATGACTTAGATACCTATAAGATGTTTCCATATTGGCACCTATTATTTGGTAGCTTCAGAGTGATAAACTAAACCAACCTGAAGTGTGATAAACACCATCTTAGTAACGAGTTTCGTTTGACACACGCGGAGGCACTCCTTAATGAACAAGCGACTGAAGAAGTTTATCAAACTGTTGCATACTATACTTTTTCTACAACCATTAGTTTTTGGGTACATTTTTGCACAACAGCACAAACGTATTTATTGACCGAGACCGTCTGAATAGGCAAACATCAAAACACCATGGTTAAAATCTACCTGTAGTTCCCAAAGCCATTACCAAAATACCGGAAACAGCCGAAGTCGCTCGTCGTTAACGAAGCCGACGTTTTAAAGTGACATGTTGCGCACGCTGGATCCATGCATAATTGGATATTTTAAATTAGGAAGTAGAAAAAAATTATGGATTTACATAGTTTTTAAATTATTAACATTTTTGATTTGTTCGTTAAGTTATTGTGCCAACTCTTGTCTTGAATAACAATACAAACTTGAATAAATGTTTTAAATAGCAAAATCGAAAATATGATTAAAAAATATTGGAAATTTTTTTAAATTATGCTTTTTTACATTAAATAAGTAATAGGTTCCTGTTCGTATTTAATGATATTTTTATATTTTGGACACGGCGAGAAAGAAAATATTTAAAAAATTGGTTAGTTTTGGTTAGTTATTGTCGAATCAAGAAAGCTGTTCCATTTACTGGATTTATTGGAAATTACATACACGTTCAACGCTAAACATAAATATTCCGACATTTTGCATACTTAACCAACCTATAATTCTCATTAAGTGATACGCCATGGACAAACTAAAGCACCGATCTGTCATTTATTATGGCGTCTAAAAGCACGATCAATTTAAACGGACGAAGAACCAATCAGAAGAATTTTAAATTGTACTCGTCATAAAAAAAAAATGATATACGTTAGTCGATAACGACTTCCTTTCGTAACGCCCGACCATTTTAATGTGTTTATTTGTATTTTCTATGTTAGTAGGTGATTGCGTTTTGAAATTTTGTTTCGCGTTCTCCATTTCTCGTACATAACAATATTTGACGAAAATTGCGTGCAATTTGGGTTAGCCATATTAATTTGGTGAAAACTTAAATTGTACTAGCAATTTAAAAAATACAAAACAATCGTAGCGGTCGCAGTCAATTTTATCCAGATTTTTGTTACCAATATTGTTTTCCCGTATGACCATTCGGTACATATTTAGCAATGATGGTCATATTAAGGGAAAACCTCTTCTATTTTATGAGACATTGACACTAGAAACAAAACATAAATTCTTTAGCCTGTGTGAGAGACGAACAAAATATAACTATTCGACTAAATTGCTCCCACCAAGTGGCTCGGATCCGTGGGGAATAAAGCCGACGTGGTAAAGTGACGCTTCCCGTACTCTAGATCGGTGTGTAATTAGGTATTTTACCGAAGGAAGTAGACAAAGTCAGTTTCGTATCCGAGCCACATCGGATATTTCCGCTCAGCTGTGCTCCGCTCGTACCAAATAAACTGGTGACTCAAATGCCGTTTATCGCACTTGTTGCATAATATAGTATTAATAATTTAAACGTGACTGCTTGCAAATGTCAAAAATTCCAAGGCATGATCACTCGCCTATGGAACATATGAATAAAATTTCAAATCTGATACATTTTTCCGTGTCGTAGTAAACCAAATGTTAATCGTGTGCGTTTAGAATACGATCTATAGTTGAACACGTCACAAATCGCTTTTCCTTTGTGCACAGCGTCTTTGCTCCGAACTGAAAACGTTATACCTAGCAATATCAGTTCGCTATGATTAGCTCGTCGAAGCCGGAATGCCTTGGCAAACAGGAAGTCAAAAGAACGGGAGACTTACAAGACAACATACCAAAACAAGGATTAGAAGATGGCTTTTAATGGGCCTGCCGGTAATTTTCATTAAGCTCTCGCTTGTCGCTTTGAACTTTGTTAGGAATGAAAACAATTCGATTAATTATTCCGTTCGACGGAATGATGAATTCGATGTCGTTTTTAGATGAAGCGCCCACGTTCCGATCCGCTGGGAATTGACGCAATTCCGTCCCATTTATCGTAATTGCGGAAAATTAAGTTTTTGTAGGAAATTTACGGAAAATACGTAAATACGTTTTCGGTTTAAAATGATACAAAGTTTTTTATCTCATCGTTCTTTCGTCCAAATAAGAGAAAATATGCGCCTTCAGTAGCCGCAACAAATTCAATAGGTTTGTGTTGGTTTAAAAATTAAAATCGGTATAATAATCGAATTGCGTTAAACTGCATGCGCGTGAAAAGTAGTTGCCCATCCGTCGACTGCCAGGATTTATCTCTTTTTGCTGTGAATATGGAATAACACAACGCGTTGTACTTTTGAAATTAAAAAAAAATACCATCTATTTGTTCGTAAAGTTTAAAGCGAATTTATGTGTGTTAGTTATAAATTAAATAAGGAGTTTGTTACCAATTGTAGACATACAAGCCTTAATACAACATTGGGTCAAGTGAACTTAAAAATAACGAACCATAAATATTTTTTATTATACAATAAAGGAAGGTAAAATTAAAATAAATAAGTCAGAGAATACTAAAATTAATATATTAACCTAAAATTGGAGCATTTCAATTAAAACCAACTGGCCATGTGCGATCTGATTCCAAAACATGTACCTAGCGTGGTGGAATTGACCGGTCAACTTTATTTATGTCGATTGACCTAAATAATTTCAAAGTATCGCATAAACACATAATAATTTATTATAAAATACAGATTATTATTAAATCATGATAGATAACACTCTCACAAATAAGAAGTGGTCAATTGATCAACCCCAACACTACGCATGTGCAAATCGTCTCAGAACGGTTTCAAAATGAATCCACTACAATGTTAATTTTATTGCGATCGAAAAGCCGTCCCCAAAATATTTGTTTACGCTGTAATTGAAATAAAAATTAAAAATTACGCTCGCAATCAAAAGCTATGAGATGCCGCTCTGACACAAAAAATACTAAACAATAGAAAAAATGCTCTATTAATTGGGAAATAAGTACAATTACACATCGGAAATTAAATTACGTCAAATTCAAATACACAGATAAGAACTCGAATAAAAATAACGAAAATTACATTTGGTAATAACGTCGAACTTTCACGGCAAAATAATAATAAAATAATCAAGTTAAATAAAGAAACTTTTAAAATTTAGAAAATAATTTAAAAAAAGGACTATTTAAAAACTTTCGCCGTCGCTGTCGTTAAAGAAACATCTGCAATTAAGCAAATCTAGATTGCAAAATGATGGGGTCGTTTGCAATGCCGAATACATGTTGCTCGATC